AAGAAGAAAACTTCTGCATTCTAAGATCCAACTGAAACTTCTTGATATCTATAAACATTTATTTTCTAGGAAACCTATAGTTAACATGACACTTAATAGTAAGAGGCTGAATATTTTCTATTTAAGATCAGGAACAATGCCAGAATGTCTGCTCTCATGACTTCCATTTAACATTTCACTGCCCAGTACAAAAGCTGAAAAAAAAATCCATATTGAAAAGGAGTACTAATGTCTTTCTTTAGAAATGTCATGGCAGTCTAAACATTAAATCCAGTGAGATTTATTTGCAAAAGCTACTAGAAATAATGAGCTTAACAATGTTAAATGATACAATTCACATAAATCTACAAAACTAATCATATATAGAACACTAAAGATAAATAAAACAATACATTTATAATATAATCAAAATAAAATATTTAGTAATACATTTGATTTCTTGAGGTTTATTTTTTTGAAATGCAAAGAGAGAAAGATACCTTCCCAGTACCTAACATGAGTGATTGTGGCGCTGTCTGCCACCACCTTGCCAGGCACAGTAAGCGGAAGCTTGATCAGAAGCAGAGCAGCTAAGAGGCCAACTGGCAGCTCTATATGGGACGCAACCTTGCTAACAACAGATTAGCCTGCAGTGCCGAAACACTAACTCCAAAAATCAGAATTTTAATAAATTGCAAAACCCCTACACTGAATACTACTGAGAGAAATAAAACACTAAATAAATCAACTTTATTCATTGATCAGAAAAATCATTCCTTTAATGGCAGTTTTGTACACATACTGCAGTATCAGTATGATGCTGATATCAATGTTGACAAATAGATCATTAGAATAAGTTAGGAGGCCAGCAATTGAAAGGCAGATATGGTCAAATGATCTCTGTTTAGTTAGAAAAGCAACAGAAAGTCCATTCAACAAACTCCAGCAGAAAAAAAAATGTATATGACCCCTTCACAGAAAAAACATTGTATGCATGTATCTCTGCCAAAGTTAACTCAAAATAGATTGTAGATCTATGTGTCAAACATAAAAAAATACAAGAAAAATCCTTTTGATATGCAGAAAAACAAAGATTCGTTAGTATAATACTGAAGGCATAATTCTTAAAGGGAAAAAAATCTATAAATTAGACTTCACCCAAATTGAGAACTGCACCCAAAGCATACTTTTAAGAAAATGAAAAGATTAGCAAATAAATTGGAGTAATATAGATCCAATTAATTTAGCAGGAAATATATCTATGTTATGCATAAATATCCTTCAGAGTTCACTCATACAATTGAGCAAAGAATTTAAACAGAAATTACATTAGGATAATGCAAATTAAAACCAAACTGATTTAAACATCTATTACAATATTGAAATTTTTAAATGATTAGCCACATGAAGTCTTGCAAATGAAATTTCTATACACTTCTTGGAATGTAAAATAGCATAAATTGGTTTGGGAAATCCATTTTTAATACTAGGTACACACTTAAGTGTAATACATCGATTCTATCTGTGGGGATTCCTCCTAGGAAGAGTGAGGGTATATGTTCATACAAATATTTATACACACCTATTCAAAGCACTTTCAACTGCAATAGCCAAAGTTGCAAACAACTCAAATGTCCTTTAATAAGTCTGTGGGTAGATTGGGAGTATATCCATATGTTGCAACTTCTGTAACTACTAAAGGATCAAATATTAATATACAATGTGTATGAATATTTAGATTATACCAAGTAAAACAAGCCCAACAGCAGAAAAATAGTTTAAATGTGATTCTTATGTAAAAATGTACAGAGTCCAAATATGTGGTAATAGAAAGCATGGAAGTTTGTGGGAAAAGGAAGGAGATGAGTGGGGTGGATGAGGATTCAACAGCAGGAGTGAATACGTTCCCACCTTGATTGTGAGGATCCTCTTGTGTGAGACAATGATGGATTGCTGAACAGATTGAATATGTAAAGTTTATTTTGGTGACTTTCACTGCAATATGAGAAAGCTATTGAAAATATTAAAGTAAGAACTCTTAATTTTTTTTTTAAATAGTGATTTATTTATTTTTGCTTGAAAGGGCAATTTACACAGAGAAGAGATAAAAAGATCTTCCATCCGTGGGTTCACTACCCAAATGACTACAACAGCCAGAGGGGATTTGATCCAAAGCCTTCAGCCAGGTGCCTCCTCTGGCTCTCCCGTGTGGGCGCAGAGACCCAAGGCCTGGGACCATCCTGCACGGCTTTCCCAAGACACAGGCAGGGAGCTGGATGGAAAGGGGAGGAGCTGGGACACAAAGTGATGCCTATATTGAATGCCAGTGCTTGCGGGTGGTGGATTAGATTGTTGAGCCACCACACTGGCCTCAAACAAATGAATTTTGAATATCAGTTTTTGTGATCCCTCAACACTTTCCAAAGCTCAGATTCAAGCCTCTCAGTACTGCATGGCCCTTCCTCTCTTCACTTCCAGAAATTTCCTGTAATTTCTAAAAGATTTATTTATTATTTATTTCTTGGAAGTCAGATTTACAGAGAGATCTTCCATCTATTGGTTCATCCCCGATCCGAAGCCAGGAGCCAGGAGTTTCTCCCATGTCTCCCACATGAACACCTGGTCCCCAGACTTTAGGCCATCTTCCCTGCTTTCCCAGGCCACAAGCAGGGAGCTGGATGGGAAGTGAAGCAGCCAGGACACAAACTGGTGCCCATATGGGATCCTGGCACATGCAAGATGAGGACTTGGCCACTAGGCTGATGCACCAGGTCCCAAAAATTCCCTTTAATTTTCTTTCACGCAGCAAATCTACTCTTCTATGCTTATTAACTCTACACATCCAACATTATCTTTAATCTTGTGCTTTTTAAATGCTTGCCAGATTATCTCATAAAAAAGGTATCCAAACCTTGAGATTGCAGGGAAAGCTGTTGTATCTTTTTCCTCCTTCTTTAGTTTGTATTAATTCTGTTTCTTCTAGATTTTTCTCATATTATAAAGGACCATCTTACCTTTGTGAATCAGAATCATTATTATCAAAACAAGTTGTACTATAATGGTGCTACTTCTACTGAGACCTATATTACCTATAGATAGCTTACCCTTCTTAAACTTTAGTTGACACCCAAGCTTTAGAAAAATCTCCTCTCATTTTTTTTTTAGAATAATCTTTTCTCTTTCCTCGTGTTCGGACAGCTTTCCAGCCATCACTTCTGCTGTTTTCATGTGTCTAGGGAATTTTCACACATCATTCTTTATCATTTCCTCTCTCTAACATGTTTTGAGTCAGAATAGCTATAACCATGGGAATTTTAAGTGTGGAAATTTGGATCAAAAATAGAAACTAAGTGGATAATAAGAAGCATGCAGGATTTTTTTTAAATTTATTTAGTAAACTGTATTGAATTTGTGCCATTAGTTTTTATCTTTTTGCAAGATAGATTGTACTTAGGAAATGTTACTGTCCCTATTTTCTAAAAGAAAAGTAGGACTAAGAATTTCAGCATTCCATTAATTTCCCCCAGAATAATGTGCTGAGGTGGCTTTTTGCAATAACTATACACAATGTCTCATGTTATTCATGTCAAGTTTCTAGTATGTTCTATTGTCGATATCATGGAATTGTATACTCAGTCTGTGCTAAGAGCAATGGATTACTTAAACAAATGATGTTGGAAGGACATGTTACAATAGCAGTAAAGTTCTGTAGTCTCTCTTATTTAATGCTGTTATAGCATGAATTGTTAAAACAGTGCTTCTAAGGTACTGAAGATATCTGAAAAATATTTTATTTCAGATGAGTTTATAATTTCAAATATTTCACTCTATTTATATTCTGAAATGATTTTCCAATTTAACATTTCCACATATGATTTTATTTAATTTATCTCCCAGTATACATGTAATATGTAATGATTGCTGAGGAGCAAACACTATTAAAATGGATAGCTAGACAGCCAAATTATGTGACCCTTTTCCTTTTCATTATCTTTGTGTCACTTTTTTAATATCTAAGCCTCAATGAATAGATCTTTGCCAGGAAATGATTATGGCTCAGAAATTGTTATTTTCAAGATTATGGTTTGCTATGGTACTTTGAGGTGGATTTCTCAAAGAATCATTGTGACACTTGGAGGATACAGAAAATGTTCCCCACTGGTTGCATAATTAGAGTTAACCGTGCTTAGGAATGAAGTCATTGGATACTTTTATGTTAGATGTACATGAATCCTTCAGCACTGAATAATAAGGCCATTTATGACATTGTAACAACATCAGTGTTGAGTAATTTCTGGCTTCCTTAAGCCTGTGAATTTGGGGCAAGCGTTATGGTACAAGTTGGTTAAGCCAGTGCTGTCTACAATGCTGGTATCCCATATCCAAGCATCAATTCAAGTCTTAAACTGTTCTGCTTCTGAACTAGCTCCCAGATGATGCACCTGGAACACCAGCAGAAGATTGAGCTACTCCTTGGGCTCTTTCCACCCAGATGGGAGACTGGGATGAAGTTCTAAGCTCTTAGCTTGGGCCTGACCCAGTCTGAGATTATACAACCATTTGGGGAGTGAAGCAACAGATGGCAAATATCTTTCTCTTTCTCCCTCCCTCTATCCCTCCCTCTCTTCCCTCTCTGTCCCCCTCCATCCCTTCTGTTTTCCCTCCTTCACTTCCTCCATCCCCTTTTCTCTTTCCTTTTTGTCACTCTGCCTTTTAAATAAACAAAATAATTCATTTGAGAAAATACCCTCTTTGTTTATCCTCTGTCTCTCTGCAGGTGCAACCAGCCCCATTTTCTCCACCTGCTTCTTAAATATATTAAAAATTCTGTTTGGAACATCTTCTCAACTCTAATAAACAGTCTCCTGATTTTACCAAATATGTGCTAAATGGCTGACAGTGCCAAATCTGGAGTCTAGAACACTTTGCTGAAACTAAATTCTGTACAGACACTGCCTTTAAATAGTTCTATTTTTGATTCCATGGCTTTGAACACTAGATATTCTTCTCTCTGTCTACAGGCAGTAAGTCCGCAGGGTTCATTGAAGGAGGATGCCAAAGGCTCTCTGCAGAAAAGCTTCAGGATTCTAAATGAGGCCAGAAAGCTAGCCCAGGATGTACAAGGTGAGTCTGGCCACTGTTTTTATTACATTCAGATTAAATGTTTTTGTAATGGACAGGACAATCTATCCCACTGTTGGAGAATATAATATATTCAATATGATTTGTATGATTATTCTATAATCTTAATTTAATGGAAGTTATGTTCTTACTAGTTTTATGTTTTGTGTTAATATCTTCTTTTATATTGGCTACAAGTTAACCATTTAAAGACTAATTCCACAGCATCATTTTAACTCTATCTAAAGCATCTCAGCTTTTTGCATGACAAATTGTTAAGAGTACCAAACTTCACTTGGTTCCCTTCAGGAATGACAAGCACAGGGGTCTGGGTTAGGCAGATGTTGCATTGTCTATGAAAAAACTTTAATTTTATTAGTGGATTCTGAAAAGTTTTCAAATTTTTTAAATATGCTTTCCCCCCATATATTATATTCCTGAATCAAACATCAAAATGTATTCAATATTCTCCTGTATTTTATGTTTGTGTTGACATATTGTAAACATGATTACTCTCTATGTAAGATAATATTTCTTCCATTCCTGTAACATTTTTCATTCGAATGCCATTACTTACTCTGGTTTGCTGCAGTCTCATCTCATAGAATTGTTTGGCTTGTCCCCACAACCTGCATAAATATTCAGGGTGCAAGACTCCATGCTTTCAGATTGCTAATCTTCATTCTTGAAATGTTTCATCCTGCCTGCAACATCTCACTACCTTCTACCTGACCAAGCTTCCGTCAAAGTGTTATCTACTACAGGGATCCTAGCCCATTATCAAGTTCACAAGTCCCCTCTGCATATGATTTCACGTTCACTTGTCGAAAACTGAGTCACGGACTTTGCTCTATCTATCTTCTTCAAAAAAGACATAGGATCTTGTTAATTTAGATCTTCCCATGTATCACATTACTGCTCGATTCAAATAAGTTAATTATGTTTTCGTAGAGTGATTACTTTACTCTTTATCCTAAACACATAGTTAAATAATTTGCACTTGGAATGCTGCAAATTAATAAGCTTAATATTCAGTAAAAGTTGCTATGGAATTATAAGATCTGTCTCCCTTATATATAGCAATTTGATAGTAAAATAGTTCAGAATGAGTATGATGGTTGAAATAAAATTCCCAACTAGCACTAGTGTGCATAGCAGATAGATCTTTTTGCAATCTGATGATGACTGTAAAGAACCAAAGTACTTTTCCCTGTTGGATAGAGGCGAACCCCTTATTTTGTATACTCTCTCCTATCCAACACCCTTCCACAAAGGAAGGTTAGAGGCAGGTCAGTGACATGACTTGTTCAAGGTCAGGGACGGAGGTAAGATCCTCCCATTTTTCAAGCTTTTGGAATTTTAGTCATTGTGATGATTAGGGGCATTCAAAAAATGTTATGTTAGAATAGGAATCTGGTATAACATGAAAGACTGCTTGATTTACCTGCATTCCTATATCAGCATGCCTGGATCTGAGTCCTTGCTCCAGGTCTGATCACAGCTTCGTGTGTGGTGCACTCTGCACAGCAGCAGGTGATAGCTCAAGTATGTGAATGTCTGGGAGTGACTGGGGAGGTACAGATGGGGTCCCTTGCTCTGACTTTCTTGAAGTCTATCCCACACAACTTCAGACATTGGGAAGTAAATCAGCAGTTAGAAGAGTTTTCTGTTTCTCTTCTTTCCTTCTCCTCCCTTTTCTTTCCCTCCCCTTATCTCACCACTCCCACTCTCTTTCTGCCTCTCACAAAAATAAAATTAAATTTTTTTTTTAATTTTTATTATTTTTTCATTGGAAAGGCGGATATACAGAGAGGAGAGACAGAGAGGAAGATCTTCCGTCCGATGATTCACTCCCCAAGTGAGCGCGACGGGCCGATACTATGCCGATCCGAAGCCAGGAGCCTCTTCCGGGTCTCCCACGCGGGTGCAGGTTCCCAAAGCTTTGGGCCGTCCTCGACTGCTTTCCCAGGCCACAGGCAGGGAGCTGGAAGGGAAGCGGGGCTGCCGGGATTAGAACTGGCGCCCATATGGGATCCCGGGCGTGCTAGGTGAGGACCTTAACCACTTGCGCCACCGCGCCGGGCCCTAAAATTAAATTTTTACAGAAACATTTGAAAGACCTTATGTGCAACTAAAAAATAATCAAAAGAAAAGGAAAACGTAGATAGGCATAACAATGAAAATGCAAAATCACATCAAGTTCTAAATGAGGCACAGAATAAATCCAACTACAGTGCTTGAGCAGTAGTCTTGCTACAAAAAAATAATAATTTTTTTAAACCTAAAGTACTGAATTAAAATAATGTTTTATCCTGAATACTGAGTTTATTGGCCCCACGTTAAATTCACACTTGAACTATCATCTTCACCCTTGCACTACTCCAAGCCCTAGCCTTGGCCCCAGCCCCATTCCCTACAACCCAAATACTGGTAGTACACCCATAAAGGAAATGTTATTTTTAGGTACTTTTTCCACTAAGGTAAAAGGAAAAACTAAAAGCAGGAGTGCTTGAAAGGGTTGGGAGACAGAACTGTTCATTAATTTAAATGTCTCTTTCTGTGTTTCAGTTAGTACATTATTTAAAGTAATGAAAGCCTACAACTACTCCAGTAATTCCTCCAGAAAACCAAGCCAAGACTATGACAGAGATGACAATGTTTTCTTGCTACATTATGACACTTCCCTGATTTGTGGCCAATTATACAGGTTATAAAATGGCTGTTAATCAGGAAAATGCCATAGATTACCACCAGGCGCGGCTAAAATGGGCCCTACAGAGCAAAACTCTTGACAGCAGCTATTAAAATAGAGATTTAGTCATTTTGTTCATCGTGGTTCCTTGAGCTAGAAAGATTAAAGATGGTTGGGCCAGGTTACCCTCCATATTTCTAAAATATTGCTTGATTCAACCCGGTGCAACTCAGTGAGACCGTGAGCTTCAGTCACGACTGGTTGAAACCTGCTCCCTAACGTTTTGTGCTGCCCTTGATCTTGGGGAATCTGAACTTGCCAGTAGCGATTTGTTTTGCTTTTTAATTGTTGAACATACATCTGTTGAAAGCAAATCTTAGATCTGAAGCAAGATGATACTGCACTGATTGAACATCTGAGCAGACACAGATCCTTGTGTAGATGGAAGCGTGCTACAAATTGATGATTGAAAGTGTTTGAAGTTGAATTAATACCATGGGGTGACCTGATGCTATTTTACAGATAAATGGGAAATACTGTCAATAAAACCATTAGTGAGGATGCTGTGGAATGTGCACGTGGCAAGCAAGGAAGTATTGTGTAAATACTAAGATTTTTAAATTATGCACTTTATATTGAGTAGCTTTCAAAATTTATTTACTTCTTAATGTACTCCTCATTTTTGTCTTTTCCAAACATAAGTGGAATTATCTAGAGACTTAGGAAAAATTAAATATTTAAAATGAATCATAACACAAGACATCAAACATCTATTCCTGAGCCCAAGAATAATGATTCAGTGTATTTCTTGGCATATCATGCTGCTTTCCTACACACTGGGCTAAACCTCGTTAATCTTTATCAAACCAGTTAACACTTTTCCTCCATACTATGGTCTCCAGTACTCAGCCTTTTAGCTCAGACAGGTGTATCAGAAATATTCTGAAATTGTAGATATAATACAATCACACCTGCTAATCTGTTGCGATCCCATGTAATTGTTTTACAAAAAGAAACAACAGCCATACTGCAGTGCAGTTAAAATGTGAAACAGGGGTTGAATTCTGATTAAAGTATGCTTTGATTGTTAAGGATGCACTCCTTCTGAATTGGAATCCTGCCATTTGCCTGGCTCAGCCTTCTCAGAATTAGCCACATGGAGGACAAATTCTGCCTCCTGGGCAACAATTGAACGCTATCCTGAATGCCTTGGTCCATCGTAATGTGGAAAACAAAGCAGTCACATCTCATTGCAACTGCTGATCCCTTGTAAAAAAAACTTTGTATTTTCTGGAGTGTACACAGTAAAAAAAAAAAAAGACTAGAACTGGAAGGGATTCTGGTTAGAAGGCAAAACAAAAGCAACCAGTGTTAAACTTGGAGGCGTCTGAACCATTGGAAAGAGGTTCCCTAACGATAAGATTTAGCTTGGTTTGTTTAAGAATACTTAAGGAAATTCATTGACAGTGGAATTAAATGATCCATTTACTTTTATGTCTTTTTAAAACCATGCATAGATTTTTCATGATATGCATTTCCAAGAACATGTTAAAGATCCACTGGACAGCCCCAGGACTAGGATACAGGAAAAGAAGCAAGCCTTCAAAAACATTCCTATTGTCTTTTTAAAAAGAAGCATATATAATAAAAATGAAGGTTACTGATAAAACTTCACCCAGTCTGTGTAGTATGCTAAGAGTCTTGCATTCTGTGGGTTTATGCACAAGCAAACACATTCAGATTAGAAACAAACATAGATGCCATCAAAAGCCTGAAAGACAACAAAAGGTATGGTGAAGCATATATTAAACCAGAGCATACTTGTCATATTCAGAAGTTATTTGGATTCAGTTTCCTGACTGCGTGCCTACAGTCAGGCTTAGAGCACAGCCTGCAGAAATCAAACTTGGGCTTCGGAGTCTGGTCATTCAGCTTCTCATTCCATTGGCTGGGAGATTGCTGCTCACACTACCCAAAACTTAACTCTTTGGAAAGCTTGCCCCAGACAAGTGCCCTTTGCCTCCTTTCCTGAGCTATAGCACCTTCGACCAAAGCCAGGAGAGAAGCAGAACAAGCACACCCATCACTGTTCAGCTGCCAAGCAAGCTAAATTTTGGGAGATAATAGTTTCATAAGAAACAAAGCTCAACCTGCTAGATTTAAGGCAAAATTTTGCTTCAAAAAAAAAAAACCGAACTAGAATTACAATGAGAAATTAACTTGAAATTTTCTACTTGGTTTAGGAAACAAACTCTAAAATAGGAATTCTTAAAGAAATGTTTTTTTCCAATCTAATTATCTTCTTTAAAAA